CGTGTACCTACACAATTGTGATGTCTACAAGAAATGACGGTTTTGTTTCTTATTTTCTAGTTATTATTTTATTTGCTCTTCTTGCTGTAGTGCACTATTTAAGTTATCTGATACAGTGTTGAGTAGAAGTGGTGACAGCCGCTATCTTATTATGCTTTCAGGGGCACAGCTCTCTATAATCCACCGTTCTATATGATGTTTGCTTTAGAACTTTTTGCGGAAACTTTATCTGATGAAAGAAATTTTATTTTTTTCTAGTTTGCTTCTTTATCATATACAATTGTAGAATTTTATCAAATGCTTTTTCTACATGTTTTGAGGTGATCAGGAAAAAGGTTTTCTCTTTTTTCCTTTTAATATAATAAGTTACATTGCTTTTTCAAATGTTTTATCAACTGTATCTTCCTGTAATAAACCCCGCTTGGTCTTATCCTTTTCTATTAGATTTTTTTTTTTTTGCACCTGGCTGGTATGGGAATCTGAATCCTTGACCTTGGTGTTATACTATCTTGTTATATCTGTTAGTAGAATTTATTATTAATAAAAATTTATATCCTTTTATATATAGCTGCTTGTGGTTTTCAACTTCTGGCTTTATAACTCTCTTTGATGTAGTTTTCTTTCTATATCATTGATGACTGCTGTTATCTTTATTGTGTCCATCCTTCTGATTTCTCTGGATTTACTGTGCTGTTTCCTTTCTAACTTCTTGAAATGGATGCTTAGATCATTGATTTCTTCCTTTTTTCCCTTATAACATATGAATTTAAATCTATAAAGTTCAAAACATGACATATTTAATTTCACAAATTTTGATATGAAATCTTTTTCATTCAGTTAAATTATTTTATACTTTGTATAAAGATATATTCTTTGACTTATGGATTATTTAGAAGTGTAACATCCAAATATATGGGAATTCCAGTAATCTTTTATTATTTTTTTATAGCTTAGTTCTACTGTGGTCAAAGAACATATTCCATACTATTTCAATTTTTTGAAATTTGCAAAACTTGATTTATGGCTCAGAATATAGCAAATTTTGGAGGAGTATTATGTGTAGTCTTCCATTGTTGGGTATAATGTTCTTCATATGTCAATTAGGAAATGTTTAATTCTGTTATTCAAAATTATAACTTCCTTGATTTTTATCTGTTTATTCAGTCAATTACAGGAAAGATGTGCTAAAAATACCACTATGGCTGTACATTTTGCATTATATATTTTGAAGCAAGATTGTTAGGTACATTCACACTTAGAATCATTACATCTTCGAAGTGAATTAACCCTTTTATCATTATTAAACTATTTTCTTTCAGCACTTCGAAGGTATCTCTCCATCGTCTTCTGGCTTTCATTTATTCTGTTGAGAAGTCAGCTGTCTGTCTTATTTTTTGTTCCTTAGAAGGTAATGTGTCTTTTTTCTTTGTCTGCCTTTGAGTGTTTTCTCTTTGTTTTTGGTTGTCATCAATTTGACTATTATGTAACTAGTGGCTTTCTTCAGCTTGAGGTCTGCTGTTCCTCATGAATCTGTGGCTTGATATCCACTATCACTTTTGGAAGGTTCTCATTTATTACCTCTTCAGATTAACTTCTGTCCCAAGCTCTTTATTCTCTATTTCTGACACTACAATTCTATCTTTACCTTTATCCAATGTGTCAAATTTCCACTGTCTTCTAATCTGTCATTTTCCTGATTCTCTGCTCAGGTATATCTAATCCAGGAGTCAACAGATTTTGGCCAGCAAGCCATCCACCTGTTTTTGTAAATAAAGTTTTATTAGAACACAGGCACCATTTGTTTACATATTGTCTGTGGCTACTTTTGCATTTCACCAACAGAGTTAACTAGTTGTAACAGAGACCATATGGCCTTAAAACCTAAAATGTTTACTGTCTTGCTCTTTATGAAAATATTTGCCAAATTCCAGTCTGATTTGCTGTTAAGTTCATCCATTGAGATATTGATTTAAATTATTGCACATTTTATCTCTAGAATCTCCATTTTGTTTTTATTATAGCTTCTTCTTTTCTAGTGAAATTTCCCATCTTATTGTTTAATTTGTTGAACACTTTAATCATAGTATCTTAGTGCAGTTTCTCTAAAAAACAGAGCCAAAGGCAAAAGCTACCTGCCAACATTAATGTTTTATGGCATTGCTAGGTCCCTCCAGCAGGGAAACAAGATGTGAAGCCAAGACCAGGACTGGAGGTGGTAGTGGTGATGTACTTAAGTTTTTAAGTTTCTGTCAGTTAATACCAATATCTGGATTTTCTCTAATTATGTTTATAATGTCTATTTAAAAAAATTTTTAGGTTGTTAAATTCTTTCATATTCCTAGTTAAAAATAAAGTTTGTGCTGTGTATTGTAGATGGAAGGCTGTAAATATAATTTGAGACTGGATTATTTTTGCTTGTAGAAGTCAGTTAGGTGAGGAGCCAATCACCTTCATCCAACAAGGAATTGAACTAATTTGAAACTGGGCTTCATTCCCTTTGAAGGCTGATCTATTTCCATTTCACTTTTATTCTTAGGATAGATCCTTCTAGGGTCCCAGTTGAAAGACTGGGGTTTACCAATACCCCTCACCTTTACAGGACTTGGACTCCAGTTTTTGCTTCCTCAGCTCCATGGGTCTGATCACTGGTGTGCTCCACTTCTCAGCCACTTGAAAATTGGGAAATATACATTGAGTGGAAAGGTGGTGCCAAATGTGGTGCCAAATGCTGTGCTCACATTTCTGGGCTTACTTTGTGTCTGGGATCTTGGCCCTGCAAATTCTTACTAGTATGGTAGTTCTGTGATGCCTTAAAATACATTGAAAATCTTTTATGCAGTGTTTTTACTTCTTCTCACTGGGAGGATTCACCAGAAACAAGCTGTTCTGTAATAGCCAGAAGCAAAACTCCTCAGCAGTGTTTTCTACCTCTGTAACTCCTGTGCCATCCCCACCCCATCACAATAATGCTGCCCCTCTCTTCCTGTAAAACATCGTGTGTCTGGAAATTTTTATACCATTTTGTAACTTAATACTCCAAACTATTATTTTTCAATCAACCCTGTTTAGATTCACTCATAAGTTTTACTCATTTATTTCATCATTATTGCTTCTTGCATCTCACTACTTTTTTTCTGAATTGATCATTGATTACTGATTAATAATTTGGTTACAGAATTCTGGATTCAAAATTTTGTCTCTCATCATTTTGAAGATATGATTTTGTTTTCTTGCATCCAGTATTGCTTACAAGAGATCTGATGCCAATCTGATAGTCTCTTCTTTGTATATAATCATTTTTTTCCTTTCTAATAACTTTTAGAATTTTTCTTTATTCTTGTTGAAGTTCTTTTTCATGTCTGGTTAGAATTCAATGAGTATGTAAAAACTGAGGACTCCTGTCTTTCTTAAGGCTGAGGAAATTCTCGGCAATTATATAATCAAATATTGCGTCTTAATTATTCTCTTTATTGTCTCCATCTTTTCTCTAGAAATACTATAGCAGATTTATAAGGTCTTTTTTAAAATTCCCTTTAAAAAAATTAAGCTGTATTATTTTGTAAACTTCTTCTTTCACTAAATATAGCATGAATGTTTTCTCATATTATGGAAT